GGCTTAGGGTGGAGGATCACTTGAACCCAGGAGTTTGGGGCTGCAGTGAGCTATGATCATGCCACGGTACTCTAGCCTGGATGACAGGGCAAGACCTTGTCGAAAAAGGAAGGGAAGTAAGGGAGGGAAAGGAGGGAGTGGGGAAGGAAGGGAGGAAAGGAAGGAAGGAGGGAAGGAGAGGAAAAGAGACGGAAGGGAGGAAGGGAGAAAAGAAGGGAGGGAGGGAAAAAGAGAGAGAAAAGAGAGACAGAGATAAATAAACAAAGATTTCTGTTCTGCTTGTAAATGTTTCCAATTTTAGCCTGAAAACCCCTAGCCTACAATGCTCTGGCCACTTGCCTAACTCACTCTCTTATCTCTTATCCATCACCTTAGCAATGCAGGCTTTTTTAGTTCCCAAAACACATTCTTAAAGGTCTTTGCCCTAGCAGTTCCCTACAGAAAACACTCTCCTCATCTCAAGTGCTCATTTTTACTCAGCTCTCAGCTTAAATGTCACCTTATTCAGAAAGGCCTTCAGTGACTAGTAAATTTAAAAGTAGTCACCCAGATTTCCTGAGTTCAGGAGTTCGAGACCACCCAGGGCAACATGGTGAAACCCCATGTCTACTAAAAATACAAAGAAATTAACCACGTGTGATGAGGCACACCTCTAGTCCCAGCTACTTGGGAGGCTGAGGCAGCAGAATCGCTTGAGCCCCAGAGCCGAAGGTGAGCTCCCCCAATGTAGTGTGTTTGCATGTTGATTTATTTATTTAATAAATACTTTCTGTGTACTTACTAGATGTCAGGCCCTGCTGTGATGGTATGTGCATTCTAGTGGGATAAAACTGTCAAAAAACAAATTTTAAGAACCAGGTAATGGTGTAAGTGCTATGCAGAAAGTTGAAATAGGATAAAGTATTTGGCGCCATCTCAGCTCACCGCAACCTCCTCCTGCTGGGTTCAAGCGACTCTCCTGCCTCAGCCTCCCAAGTGGCTGGGATTACAGGCATGCATCACCACGCCCAGCTAATTTTCTATTTTTAGTAGAGACCAGGTTTCACCATGTTGGTCAGGCTGGTCTTGAACTCCTGACCTCAGGTGATCCACCCGCCTCGGCCTCCCAAAGTGCTGGGTAAAATAGTATTTTATAATAACCACATTATAGAGATAAACCACAAAATTAGGTAATTCTTCACAGCATACTAATATGCTATTTACAGATATTAAAACAATGATATCTTTACAATTCTCTTAGCAAACACATCCAATGTATATGTAGAATTTTAATGTCACTTATATAGTAATCCAATCACATTTCAGCTTCTGCATTTAAAGTCTCATCTCAAATTTACTGAGTTTTGTTTTTAGTTCTTCAAAGCAAACAGTGTCAAGAGTTAGACTGCAGGATTAATTTGTATACCACATATTCTTTCTTGTCACCATTTCAGTGATGCAATAAAATACTGCACTGTATTTTTTATCTCAAAAGGTTTATTCTTAAATCTACCTTTCTTAATGGCTTCAAGCAACAGTAACATAAAAAACTAAGTGACTACAAAACTGAGCTTAAAAACTATTCCATTTCCCTCTAAATGTCCACGACACCATTAAACTTCAAAAAAAATTTTTTTTTTTTTTTTTTTGAGACAGAGTCTCGCTTTGTCGCCCAGGCTGCAGTGCAATGTCGCAATCTCAGCTCACTGCAACCTCTGCCTCCAGGATTCAAGCGATTCTCCTGCCTCAGTCTCCCAAGTAGCTGGGACTACTTGGGAGGAGCATGCCACCACACCTGGCTAATTTTTTGTATTTTTTTAGTAGAGCCGAGGTTTCACTGCGTTAGCCAGGATGGTCTCAATCTCCTGACCTTGTGATCTGCCCGCCTCGGCCTCCCAAAGTGCTGGGATTACAGGCACGAGCCACCGCGCCCAGCCTAAACTTCAGAATTTTAAAAAATTTCAGAGAAGCAGTGGTCTATTAGACATCTCAAAATGCTTTAATATGTAGGCTACTTAAATGTCTCCCACAATTTTTACAGTAAAAAAAAAAAAAAGCACACAATGAAGAACATCTCCTAGCAATGATCTCCCTACCCCACACATACCACCTTCTCATTTTGTTTCTGTATTGTTTGAATATTTTATAAGACGGTTTGCATTACAATTGTAAAAACAAAGACCTTTGTAAAGGTTAACATTAAAGGTAGTGGTCATGTCATGTATCACGGTAATAGTCAAGTAAATGGTACAAAATGCCTAATAAGTCTAAGAAAGTTTTGTTAAAACTAGGGCAAATAAAAACACCTTAAAACAAATTATCTTGCTTTTTCCAATGTGTATATCCCCTACTCTATAGCTACTGAGATTTGACTAAGTCAATAAGGCTCCCAGAAGCCCCAGGTCACATTCTACAGGTCCCTGTACTCCTCCAGTCCTGCCAGCAAAGCTCACTAAACATTTACTTGTTCAACAAATGAATCACTCCCATGATTCCCCTTGTCGCACAGTCCTTTCTTCCATTTTTGCTCATGCTCATCTCAAGCTCACAAGAGCTTCTATACTGGCTACGTAAGTCACTTAATTTCCTTGGTTCCTTCTTAAACAAGGACAAATCTCTGAGTTGACCAAAATACAGGTCTCAATAAGATCCAATCTTGTCTTTATTTTAGATCTATTTCTAATATCCTTGGTTACCTAGTTCTCACAACAACTTACAAACAGAACACTTAGTGTTGCTCTATTAAATACAATTTTCTTTGTGTATTTCTTACTGGAACTCTAAAGTGTTGTATCAAAAACAAATATTAAATAAAACACATTACAAATATAGAATTGAAAATGTTGTCATGAAAACTATTTCCTAAAGTGATTAAAATAAAAACTGACAAGTCATTAAATGCAAACGTTCCATATATCCCAGGGGAAATGCTTTAATTTCGTGCCCCAGATTAACAGTATTAGTTTTTTTATACTAATAGAAACAAAATTATATTTATTTATGTAAATAGCAGCAAAAGCTGTAGAAGCCACTCCCTAACAATGGGCTTCTCAAAAATATACTTCCCGAAGTGTAACATATTACTTTTCCTTGAAAATAAACTGGAAAACAGCAAAAATAGTTAAGAATTTATATAAACACAGGTACAGCATTAACTCTCAGTTAACACTGCATGTGTAAAGTGCCTAAAACGCTAAACAAACCCTACAGAACATAAATACTTCAGTGGAGCTGTTGAAAGAGTCACTGCATAACTTCAATACACCCACAAATATTTACCAAAAAGCCACAATCTTTCTTTAGGTTTCAATAATTCTGAAATTAACTGAGTATTATAAGCCGATTAAGTCACTGTGGCACCAACATTTGTTACCACAAAGAACCAAAGTCAAATAGGCATTTTACATAGTTTGTCTGAAATCATCAAACTCCATTTTAACTTTCACCCTTCAACTTATTAATACACATTAAGCAGTAAAGAAATACTCAAGAGGAATCTGATTCTATTAGTGCTGTCAGTCCACAGGGTGTTGTCAATTACTTCTGAGGACACTGAAAAGTTTCTCATGTATAATTGAGATCTACTGTTCCTTTAAGAAGTTAATCACACAGCATACACCTACATATATTCTGAAATCAAGTAATTTTGTACCAAAAAATCCCAAAAAGGTTGTTTTTTAAAAAATTAAAGATGTACAAAACTTAAGATTAAATGAGGTAAGTAAAACGTAACACTGTATCTCCACTTAAAGGAATCCATTGTTTAAATAATCGATTCCACTTACTGACCACCAAGTAAACACATACCATTTAATCTTCACATCTCTGCAAGGCAGGTATTATCCCTATTATACAGAAGATGAAACTAAGATAGCGTAATTTGCCCAAGGTCATAGCAAATAAGTTACAAAACCACAAATGGAACTCAGGTCTACTTAACACCAAAGCCCCTGATCTCCACCCAAAATAGAATCAACTACTTTTAAAAATAGAGTTGGGCAGAAAGCTGCTGGTTTAAACTTAGTATTATGACAATCTTAGCGGTGTATTCCCGAACATAAGCAGTAAATTCACACGGCGTTTTTAGCTTCTTGGCATAAAGTTGTACTGACCTCAACAGTGTCTCTTTATGCAGTCACAAATACAGAAAAATGTATAATGTGGACTTCTGAAATGTTTAAGGCTTTAACTGCAGAAGGGATTCAAAGTTGTTTTTTTTTTTTCTTTTTTCCCCCTTGAACCGCTACTGTTTGGGGGATCAGGGGAGGGTGGGTGCAGGGTTCCAACTCCTACAATTCCAAGATTTCTAATGCAGAAAACCCGTTAAATCTGAGGTTTAGTTTGAGGCTGGATGGATTTGAAGGGTTCTAACGCTAAAACCAACACTAAAGAGGCCTCAAAGTGCAATCTACGCAAGGGTGTGGGTTTGGTGGCGGGAGGAAGGGAGCAGAACGATTCATTTGCAAATAAAAGGGTTAACAATTCTGTGGGGAAAGGGGTAAATTCATTTTCACCACTACTCACCTCTCACTCGGCGGCAAACGGAACCTGATACTTTTTTTTAAGGCTCATCTTCTCGGGTTACCAACTCTGGGACCTAAGCGCCTAACCAGGTCCACACATGGGTAGTGGCGACGCCTACGTCTCCCTCCCCCACCTGTGCACCCACACCAGAAAGCCAGGCCCCACTGCCGAGACGGCCTGGACCTCCCCATCCCCCTCCGGCCCCGCTAGCACGAGCTCCTAGGCCCAGGCCCGCGGGCGTGCGCTCCACGCCATCTGCCACCAGGCCTTCGGCGTCCAGCCACTGCTTCCCCTTTCTCCTGCCACAAAGCCCGTGGCCAAGCCAGGAGAGTTGGCTCCGCTGTACGCCGCCAGGGCCAGGGCCGGCACCGGGACTCAGGGCCCTCAACGCGCCCTCCGGGGCTTCCCCCGCTGGAACGCGCCGCCCAGCCCCGCGAGCTCCTGGCGCTCCCCGCGGCCCGCACGCGGCCGCCCCTGCCCCCGGCCCGCGCGCATACCGTCTCCTCGGGGTCGATGTCTATTTTGAAGGTCTGCTGCTGGAGGGTCTTCAGGGTGACCTGCATGGTGCCGCCGCGCAGCTCTGCTGCCGGGCCTGCGCCGGGTGCTGGCCGCTGGGCGGGGTCTGTGGCCTGGCGGGGCCCCGGGGTCGCCCGCGCTCCTCGCGCTCTGGGGAGGAAGGCGGTGGGGGTGGGGGCTTGTCACATTCGCCCAGCGGAGCGGCCTCTCCCCCAGCCCGTGCCCCGGACCGCGCCGCTGCCTCCGCGACTGCGGCCTTCCCCGCGAGCTCGGGCCGCCGTGCTTCCTCACGCGCCGAGCGCCAGCCACTGAGTCTGCAGGAGGCGCAAGGGGCTCGGCGAGACAAGCAGGGAATCCGCTAGCTCACCACAGGATGGTGGCCGCCATCATCGTGACTCGCCGAGACGTGCCCCCTCCCCCACGCGAAAAACCTGGGGGGATGGGGCCGGGCGGGCGGAGCGCGCAGGCGTGGGGGGTGCAGCGACGCTTTGCGCAGGCGCGGCAGACGACTCCGCCCCGGAATTGGGGGCGGGGCGGAAGGCGGCTCTGGAATGTCGGCGGCCTGGACCCGGATTGCGCAGGCGCGTTCCGTGGGCGGCAGGGGCTCTCGGGGTTTCCTCCTAGCGACTATTACTGGGGCGTTCTCTCCGCCCGCCGCCTCTCCGCGTCTGCAGACTCCGCCCGACTGCCGAAGTTACGCAATATGTAGCCCGGGAAGCGCTACGTGGAGACCCGGCAGAGTGGATGCCGAGCCCTGGAGCGGGGGAGTAATCGGGGCGGAGTTTAAGTGAAAGGATGGCGGTAACCACAGTTAGGGGCCAGCACCCGGGGGGCGCTCGCTGCGGGGCTCAGCCCTGGGGGTGTCGACTGATTCTTTAATCCCGACAGCACAGACTACTGAGCCGGACTGCCCGCTTTCAAATTTTGTTTTCTCTCACTAGCCTTGGGTCCTTGGGCCTAAACAGATGGACCGATTTAAAACGAATGTCAAGTTCTGTCACACCTCGGGGTAGAACTGTCCAGTGTTTCCCCATCTAGCTCCGAGTTAAAGTCAGAGTTATTAGAACGGATGTATTAGTCCCTCGCCTTTCTCCGAGTCGCCTTACTCTCCCCACTGGTGGATTCTAGGCTGCCCCCACCTCAGGGCCTTCCTTTGCACTTGTCCCGGCTCCCCTCCTTAACATCCTTGCTCAGATGTTGCCTTCTTGGTGAGGTCTGCTCTGGCTGCCTTACTTAAAATCGCAGCTTCCTATCTGTCTTATCCTGCTCTGTTTTTCTTGTATAGCAGGTATCCCCTTTTAATTACCGTGTAATGTACATATCTCTTGTTTATCATCTTTCTCCTTTTCCTGTAAACCCCAGACTGAAGCTGCATAGAGGCAAAGATTTTGCTGTGTTCCCCCATGAACATGCCTGGCACATTGCAGGTGCACAGTAAATATTTGTGGAATGGGTGAATGTGCTTCCGGATCCTCAGCAGTAAAATGAAAATAATAATGTCACTCATTGATTATTGGAGGGGGGAGTTGAATATTGCATGTAAAATCTTTTTTTTTTTTTTTTTGAGGCGGAGTGTCGCTCTGTCGCCCAGGCTGGAGTGCGTTGGAGTAATCTCTGCTCACTGCAAGCTCCACCTCCCGGGTTCACGCCATTCTCCTGCCTCAGCCTCCCGAGTAGCTGGGACTACAGGCGCCCGCCACCTCGCCCGGCTAATTTTTTGTATTTTTAGTAGAGACGGGGTTTCACCGTGTTAGCCAGGATGGTCTCGATCTCCTGACCTCGTGATCCGCCCGCCTCAGCCTCCCAAAGTGCTGGGATGACAGGCGTGAGACACCGCCCCTGGCCCTGTATGTAAAATCTTAGTACCAGGATCATGATAAACAGTCTGTAAACCGTTAGCTATTAGTAGAAAATGCGTTTACAGATAGAAAACTGAAGTACAGAGATGTTGAGTAATGCACCTGGAATCACCCAGCCGGTAGTAAATGGCAAATCCAGAATGTGACCTCAGACAGAATGACTCCAGAGCCTGTATCCCAGGGTGTGGCACTATTCCCCTCTTTTTTTGTTTTAAAGGAGGGGGATACACTGTCATCCAGGCTGGAGTGCAGTAGCACAAACACGGCTCACTGCAGCCTCAACCTCCCGAGCTCAAGAGATCCTTCCACCTCAGTCTTTTGAGTAGCTGGGACCACAGACACACACCACTGCTTCCCAGCTGATATTTTATTTTTTTTTGTACAGATATGTTCTCCCTATGTTGCCAGGGCTGGTCTTGAACTCCTGGGCTCAAGTAATTCCTCCTGCTTCGGTGTCGCAAAGTGCTGGGATTACATGTGAGCCATCACGCCCAGCTCTTCTCCTCTGTTTTATAATAAACAGGAGTTTATTATAATAAATATAATAATATTATAAATAATCTCCTGTTTTAAATGTGCCTGTGGCACATTTGATTTAGTTCAAGTATAAAACACAGTTCTAGTCAGGCCACTAGCTCTACGACCAATTACAAATTACTTCTCTGGGACAGCATCCTCACTAATACAGTGTCACTGCCTGGTTTTCAGTGGCTTCTAAGAGCTTGGGTTTAATGTTTCCAAGAAACTTTCCTTGACCAGCTTCTCCCTCCAATAACCTGGTATTTCCCCTTTCACGGCACATAACTCGCTTCGTAGTAGTTAAACATGCAATCTTCTGCCTTCTCTCTTCCTATAGCTACTCGTAGTCATCAGGTGGTTTCATCTTGGCCCTTGTTTTGAAATACCTTCAGCCTGGACCTCTCCCCTTAGCTGTAGAGTTAGCCAATTGCCTAAGCAATATCTTCACCTGAATATGTAACAAGCCTTTGAAACTTAATATGGTGAAATAGAACAATTGATTTCTCTTTGGACCTCCTTTCCTGCTGCAAACTGCTCCTCTCCCAGTTTTCCCCCATCTTAGTTTATGGCCTCACAATCTACCCAGGTGCTCAGACCAAAAATCTGGTCTTCATCCGTGATAACTGTCTTCCCTCCCTCACCCACTCCCAGCCACCACATGCAATTCATTATCAAGCCCTGTCAACCTTATTCTCCAAAGTATATCCCCAAGTCAACCTTTTTTCCACCGTTTCTACTTCTACAGTCCTAAGCTAATCCATCATTATCCTTCACCTGCGTCCCACCTGGTCTCTCCACTTCCACTCTACCCCCAACAGCCTCCCCAGCAGCCAGAGTGGCCTTTTAAACCCATAAATCAGAGCATGTCGTATCTATGCTTAATATCTACATTTTAGAATAAAAGTCAAACTCTTTACATGGCCTTGGAGAGCCCACGTGATCTGACTCCTACCAATTTCTCTGACCTCATCTCTTTCCTTCTCTCACCCGCTCATTCACTGTCATCCATTTCCCTCTCAGCCCTCAAACAGGCTAAGCTGTTTCTAGCCTCAGGGCCTTTGCACTTGAGGTTCCTTCAGCTTGAAACTCTGTCTTCCCAGATCTTTGAATGGCTAACTCCTTTTCAACTTCAGGTTCCAATTCATATTTTACTTTTTTAGAGAAGACTTCTCCAACAAATTTAATAATATACATTAAACATGTATTAAACCTTTTTCTCTTTTTTTTTTTGAGATGGAGTCTCACTCTGGAGTGCAGTGGCGCAATCTCGACTCACTGCAACCTCTGCCTCCCAGGTTCAAGCAATTCTCCAGCCTCAGCCTCCCAAGTAGTTAGGATTACAGGTGCGTGCCACCATGCCTGGCTAATTTTGTATTTTTAGTAGAGATGGGGTTTCACCATATTGGCCAGGCTGGTCTCGAACTACTGACCTTGTGATCTGCCCGTCTTGGCCTCCCAAAGTGCTGAGATTACAGGCATAAGCGTCCGCACCTGGCCTAAGCCTTTTTTCTAGGCAAACCACTTGCTTTTTAGGGAGAGACACTCACTCCTATATTCACGACTGTTTTCACCTACAACAGAGACTAGAAAACAGTAGGTGCTCAGTAGTAGATGCTGACTGACTCCTAACTCAGTTGTAGACTCCACAAGACAGGGGCTGAGTCAGTCCTGTGCATCTTGTTATCTGAAGTAACTAGCACAATGTGGATGATCTGTACATGTTGTTTGAAAACATGGTAAGGTCATTTTAGTTATAATTTACAACAGTTATAAGAAAATGTGAAAATATTTAAAAACCTGAAATATGCTGTATAGTTATAATATTAAAAGCTTCCTGCTACAACTATTATTGTCTGCAGAAAAACAAGGAGAGAGATGCCTTTCCATATATTAGTGAATGCAAAAAAAAAAAAAGTTTTTTTTTTTTTACTTGTGGCAAAAGGAAAAAAAAAACCAATGTAGAAAGGGAGGGATTGGTTGAAAATGAAAGTCCTCCTCCCACCTCCCTAGAAGTAAGCATTGCTTTGAGTTCTTAGAAACTTTCTAGACATATAAAAGAATATATTTTCCCAGGCGGGTGCAGTGGCTCACACTTGTAATCACAGCATTTTGGGAGGCCGAGATGGGTGGATCCGAGCTCAGGAGTTCGAGACCAGCCTGGGCAATATAGTGAAACCCCATCTCTACTAAAAATACCAAAGTTAGCCAGTCATGATGTCACGTGCCTGTAGTCCCAGCTACTTGGGAGGCTGAGGCACAATAATCACTTGAACCTGGGAGGCAGAGGTGGCAGTGAGCTGAGATAGCACCACAGCACTCCAGCCTGGGTGACAGAGCGAGACTCTGTCTCAAAAAAAAAAAAAAGAATATGTTTCCGCAAATACAGTCATGCGTCACTTAATGAAGAAATTTAGCCGGGCGCGGTGGCTCAAGCCTGTAATCCCAGCACTTTGGGAGGCCGAGACGGGCGGATCACGAGGTCAGGAGATCGAGACCATCCTGGCTAAAGCGGTGAAACCCCGTCTCTACTAAAAAAATACAAAAAAAACTAGCCGGGCGAGGTGGCGGGCGCCTGTAGTCCCAGCTACTCAGGAGGCTGAGGCAGGAGAATGGCGTAAACCCGGGAGGCGGAGCTTGCAGTGAGCCGAGATCCCGCCATTGCACTCCAGCCTGGGCGACAGAGCGAGACTCCGTCTCAAAAAAAAAAAAAAAAAAATTTATTCTGAGAAGTGTGTCATTAGGCGATTCCGTTGTTGTACAAGCATCATAGAATGTAATATATTACACCCTACATGGTATAGCCTACTACACACCTAGGCTACATGATATAGTGTACTGCTCCTGGGCTACAAACCTGCACAGCATGTTACTGTACTGAGTACTGTAGATAATTGTAACACAACGCTAAGTACTTGTGTATCTAAACATAGAAAAGGTATGGTTAAAAAAGTGGTGTAAAAGATTTAAAAATGGCACACCTGTATAGGGTGCTTATTATGAATGGAGCTTTCAGGACTGGAAAATGCTCTGGGTGAATCAATGAGTGACTGGTGTGTGAATGTGAGAGTCTAGAGTGTTACTGTACACTACTATAGACTTTATATATAAACACTGCACACCTAGGCTACACTAAATTTAAAGTGTTTCCTTTTTCAATAA